CTCAGGCCGTCGCCGGAGCAAAGGCAAGCATGTCGGTGAGGGGCTGCTGAGAGCCCGAGCCGAGCTGCAGCAGAGTTTGCTGGTCATTAGTCCTGCACCAAACTCCAGGCGAGGTAAGTGGCGCCGCGGCGGCTGCTACTACTGCTGAAGGGTTTGGGAACTATGTTCGGGTGGAACTGGCGGTCGAGTAGGAGCAGCCAACCCGGCCAACAGAGCCGTTTCTCTGGAGGAGCGGCTGCTTTGTAATGCAATCCATTCGGCACGCGCGCTGCTCTTTTGCACTTAGCAGCTCTTTAGTTTCGATGCCCTGGGAGGCTTTCGCGCGCCATGTGATCAGCGCCAGTGTGCTGCAGGCTGGTGTCTCCCGGACGGCTCCGATTCACGGACGACCCGGGTTCTGGTGGGAGTGGAAGACAAGGAGACTGCAAAATGCGCGCCTCGGTTCCGTGTACTTGTGCAGAGGGGAGCGGGTTGCTGGGGGTGCCTGACCGCCGGACCGACCTTAGGAGGCGGAACTGTCCGGAGAAGTCCAGCTGGCCTAGCAGTGCGCTATCAGACGGCCATTGAGCGTGAGTAAGAAAGCTAGGCGCTACAGGCAGCCAAGGACGGAGATTCGGAGAAGTGACCTTTGCAATCCCAGATTGGGATAAAGCCCGGGCAAGGGCCTTTCATGCCTCAAAGGGGTAAGGTGTACCCTTTAAAAACTTGCATTATTTTTGCAATGCAAAGACCCCAGAATGTATAAACCCACAAATCTCCCCGATGTTATTGCACAGCTCCTAAGGTCGGCAGAAACCTCCCCCGCCCCCCAGCTTCCTTTTTCAGTGAACCTCCGTTTCAGTTTTTTGAGCGAATGGGGTCGGCAGCTTAGCGTGCCCCGCAGGATGCTGTAGGCTGTCCACGCGCTCGGAAGCACAAAGGTTTCTTTTTACGCGGCAGACCTGCTTCGTGTGCAGGAACGGTCGCCACGCAGATCCTTCCTGGAAGTTCACTCCTTCTGCCTAGGAGGATGGCGAGGGAAACCTTGCAAGCTTTGGTATCTGGGCCAGGGAGGGTAACTTGTTGTTGTTTAGTCGTTAAGTCGTGTCCGACTCTTCGTGACCCCATGAACCATAT